AACCAGGGAGACGAGGAAGACGGCACCATGGAGGAATGATGCAAAGCTGTGTCTGTTATTTTCCATGCTGGATTCTATGGGTATAATCTGCAAGTAGAAATAGTACATAACTGCAAGGTTTCATCATTCTATTCTAAATTGTTTTTGTTACAGCTGCATTTGTACATAGAAAGAAATATGTGTCTGGCAGACTGTAAAATACCGAACTTGGCCATCAATAATATCTGAACTGACCCTTTACAATAAACTGAGTTGACAGAAATATATAAAGTCACACCTACTGCTGTCTATGGGACTGAAGAATACAAGGATACCATGCAGAACCAGGGTGATCTTTTTTTAATACACCAATGCAATAAATGTTGCAGTCACGCCTGGCTAGCCAAGCTTTTCTAAACTAAGTGGAAATTTAGAATGCAGCAACTGCCACCAAGACATGAACACATCATTTTGTTTATGAATAATTTAAAGCTAACTGGAGGTTCACTTTCAGGTGTTCAGGGATGATGAACATGGTTATCTTTGTTGTCATATTCCACACAGGGATCATTCAGTTGCCTAAACACTTGCATAAATACAAGTATGGTAGTCATGACATTTTGTTTGACAGGGTGCGGTCATGAAGAAAATTTTTTCACTATATTGGAGTTTCAACGAACTGGAATCAGTTGAAAAACCTTTGTCACCATTTTTTTCCAATCTCAGTGGGGAAATTTACTTGTTTACTAGCCTATGTGGGTAAGTGGTGTTTTTGTTTGTGTCGTATTTACTACTTACAAGTCCAATTCCTTCATATGCAGTGGTCACCTGACCAAAGAAGATGGGGAAGGTTTCCAGTTTGAACCACACTACACTTTCTGATACTGTGAAACCTGAAATAAAAATTTACTTCCAGTAAAAAAAAGAAAATAAAGAAGATAATGATATATCTTGTGGATACTTTAGGAGATACAGAAAGGTATGCCCTTAAATGGCTAGTCCAAAAATGCACTTTACAATATATATTTTATGCAGCTGTAAAATAACCATTATATGAAAAAAAAAAAACATTTTAAGATTATATCAACAAATAAAATGACAGATACTGTACAAAAGTTATTTTTAGTTATGTAACACTATTCCCATGGACGACACTATATCATTACCTATCATCAATTTCCAGAAAATCGATTTCATGGTATAAATTATTTAAGGTTTGGCTTATGAAATCATAAATAAGTGAGAAGGAAAGCAGCTGAAGAGATGTTTATCTACAGCAAAATACCAACAAACATGCAAAAGAAATGCGGGCAACAAACAGAAAGATGAGCTTGTATTCATCTTTAAGCTCACAAGTCTTAATAACCTTTTTACATTTACAATGACGACTTTTATATTTGCACTTATCACTTAAAATATTTTTTTAAATTCCACACACACAAAATTAAATAAAAATTTAATTCAAAACAGAATGAGGACTGGTGTAAGGAAGTAGTCATACATAAATTTTTGTACATGATCAACCAAAATGCACCCTTAAAAATGGCATGCTTCTTGAAAAAAAATCGACTAACATAAGCAATGCCAAGCCCAAATCTTTTAACATACCTACAATCAAATAGCAGAGCACAGACACAAACCCTGCAAAGATGGCTAAATTAGCGATAAGGCTGATAGGCCCCATACTCCTCACATGTCTGATCCATGAGAAGAAGATGAACACAGGTCCAGGAACCAACACTAGGTACTGCAAGGCAGGGGCTGTGCTGATTACTGTCTGGTTCCCAATGGTGGCACTGCTCGTAAGGCTGGACATGGTCTCTTGAGGCAAATATATGGGAATTGTAACCCTTCTGTCATCTATATTTTCCACAAACCGCTTGGTTCTATTCTGGGTGAAACTGTCACTGGAGTTACTATTCTGTGTGAAAGTATCACTTGAACTACCATTAACAACACTGAAATTACCACCTGCTTTAATGCTAGAGTCACTGGTTGTATCATTGACATTGTCATCAGACACATAACTTGGGCTGCTGCCTGCTACCATACTAGAGTTTGCATCTGTTAAAATTTTTCCTTCTTTTCCTTCTGTCATTTCTAATAAATGAGATATTTCAGAAGAATTTGACATAATGGTTTGGTGTTCAGAATTATCACTGCTGTTAAAAATTTTAGGTGTTGTAAAGGTTGTTTGTGTTCCCTGTGTATTGGGTGTTCTGGTTGTCCCCAAACTGGTGGGTTGGTATGCCTGTGTGGTTGCTGAAACAGTTGATGATATCCTTATCGTCTCTGTCTTATGTTTGCTGTAAACTTGACTGTTCAATGAACTACGAGTACTATAAAATCCCATGGAACCATTTTGAATGGATTCTGATGTAGAGGTGCTCAATCCAGGTAATACAGTTACCAATTGTGGTAAACTTTGGGTAACATTTATATCTGGCATACTTGTATTAGTCTCCACTATTTTCACTGGGAACATAGAATAAATAGTGTTACCAAGAAACACAAAGTAACCAATGCAGAAACCAAATTGTGTGAGAAGCAAACACATTTGTACTATTACTGATCCAGGGGTTCCAAAGACTATACGTCCAATATCCTGATAGCTGAGTGATTTAGCAACTTGCTGGTGAAAAGAGTGAATGGCTAGTTCATCCTCTTCTGCTGTACTTGATGCTGCAGGCGATGGTGAAGTAAAAGACGATGACGAAGATGATGTTGATGCATTTGCTATACTTGAGGCTCTTTCAATTTTTTCTTGAATTCTTTTTGTGTCAACTATATTATTAACCACAATATGTTTTACTTTGACTAATAGCTGACAACAGTAATCTGTCATGGCAACAATAATAAGTAAGCCACCAAGTCCAAACTGAAATGATAGAAACATTTAATTTACTACAGTACATGCGTAAATATGAAATCTTTCTGTTTTACAATGAGCTGTGAAATTACTTTTAAATGATCAGTAAAGTATAATGAAATATAGTAAATTCAGATATGTTGTTAATACTCAATTTAAGCAGAAACACACACAAACACAAATACACATACACACATCTTACTGTTACAGTGAGAAAAACATTCAAACACTATACTTACACCAAGTCCACTCTGACTAAATGCAAAAGGCAAAGCAAGGTAGTTGGAGCCAATAAATGCCTTGACCATGTTTGCAAAGTCACCAACATGTTGAAGGGCAGTGGGCTTGTTGGGCCTACTAAAATGTAAATAAACGCACAGGTATTCATTATTTTGTTTAGTACGTCTTAAGGTGCTCTCTTTTTCTTCATTTTAAATACATTTTTTTGCGGAAATACTAAGACATGTCATATTATGATAAGGGTGTTTATCTATGGACACAGTTAAATGATCACAGGTAACAACAGCAAATAGTGAAATATATTTCCAGTTAACAAAAAATTCAATGATTCATGTTACATGTAAATGGTTTCAATAGGTATATCAGAAAAATTTTCAAACTGATCAGAAAATTAAAATACTTATATCATCTGAAAGGTAATGCAAAAACCGGATGAAATCATTTGGAATTTTTTAAATATTCCTACAAGCAACAAAGATATTGAAGTTTTTTAACTGCAAAAATCCACCAAAAGTGTCCACACTTCTCAGCTCAAAACCTGTGCCCACTGACCAGCAGTGATCACTCAGGCGCAGCAGAGCACCCTGTGTGTCTTTGTGTGCTCAGCCTATTGTCTGGCTCACATAGCCTGTGACTAATCAGGGCAGAGCTATTTCCCTGTGGTAATTTTCACATCATGTAATATTGCGGATTAAATTAACTATACTTCGCAACCTTCAAATTTCATGATTTTTCTACATAATATAGCAAATTTCATAAACTTTGCTGGATATAAATTTCAAAAAGATGATACCAGCACTTACCTGAAATTTTTTAGCATTTTGTAGAGGCAAAACTTAAAACAAGCAGAACCGAAACTTGTCAAAGACTGCAACATGGGAAAATCATGTGACCGGATTTTACTCTTTGATTTACAACTTATTTAGTTAATGGCTTGTATTAGTTTTTTTACGCAGCGCTAAAAGAGAGATTTAAAAAAGGGGTTCCATAGGCGAACTGTCAGCAGGCCGACTTCAGTTTAACACTTCACTGCCCGTGGACAGTTACGACTGTAGCGCCCCTAGCGGATTGTGATCTACCTA